GGAACCCAGCCCTCTACAGGTTCTCACGGATTCAGCGAATGAGGGCCTGGCGCCGGACGTTCCGCCACGTCTGGCTGCCGAGGGGACGGAGGAGCTCGACAGGGCCTACAGTACGGACACTGTAGAGCAGTTTTAGCAAGATGACACTAAACCGGGGCCTCTCGGTGCCTCTACCCGTTTGAGGTGAGAACACAGGAGGATACCAGCTCCACACGAAGGCTATAGAATCTAGCGAACGTATTGGGGGTCGCCCAGCCAGCAGCTCTACAAATATCCGTCAGCGAGGCGCCCAGGAGGATGCAACACTCCTAGTAGAGTGAGCTCGCAACCTGAGCGGGCAGGGCACACCCTGTGCCTGATAAGCCAGGGTGATGGCATCCACAATCCAGTGGGCCATCCTCTGCTTAGAGATGGCATTCCCCTTCAGCCGGCCTCCATAACAGACAAAGAGCTGGTCTGAGGTCCTAAAGCTTTGTGTCCGGTCTAAGTAGCATCTCAAGGCTCGGATGGGACAGAGCAAAGCTAGGGCTGGGTCTGCCTCCTCCGGGGGCAGCACTTGCAGGCTCACCACCTGATCCCTGAAGGGAGTAGTGGGAACCTTGGGCATATAGCCGGGCCGGGGCCTCAGGATTACCTGCAAGTCAGCCGGCCCAAACTCTAGGCACGAATCGTCGACCAAAAATGCGTGCAGGTCCCCTACCCTCTAGATGGAGGCCGGTGCAAGCAGGAGCAGAGTTTTCATTGAAAGAAACTTTAGCTCGATTGACTGCAAAGGCTCAAATGGGCCCTGCTGTAGTGTTTTAAGCACCAGAGACAGGTCCCAAGAGCATATGGGGAGGGGTCGGGGAGGATTTAACCTTCTCGCCCCCCTAAAGAACCTGATGACCAGGTCATGCTTCCCTACCGACTTCCCTTCCATGGGGTCATGGTTAGCAGCAATCGCAGTGACATATACTTTAAGGATGGAGGGAGAAAGCCTTCGCTCCAACCCTTGCTGCAAAAAGGAAAGCACGACCCTGATTGGGCATCACCGGGGGTCTTCTCGTGAGAAGAACACCACTCGACCAACAGGTTCCACTTCAAAGCATAAGCGTGTCTCGTAGACAGTGCTCTCACCGAAGTGATGGTGTCAACTACCTCTTGGGGTAGGTCACCTAGAACCTCCGCGTCCCATCCAGGGACCAGACATGAAGTTTCCAGTGCCACAGGGTGCCCCGTCTCTGAGTCAGTGGATCCTTCCTCAGAGGAACCTGCCAGGGAGGGGCTGTCGCGAGGAGCATTCGTTCGGGGAACCAGGTCCGAGTGGGCCAATACGGCCAATAATCTCTTCGTCCTCCCTGACCTTGCACAGCGTCTGTGCGAGAAGGCTCACTGGGGGAAACTCATACTTGCGCAGGCCCCGCGGCCAGCTGTGTGCCAGTGCGTCCGTGCCGAGTGTTCCCTCGGTCAGGAAGTAGAACAACAGGCAGTGAGAGGTTTCTGGAGAGGCAAACAGGTCTACCTGAGCCGCACCGAAACCTCTCCAAAACAGCTGGACCGTCTGGGGATGAAGTCTCCATTCTCCTGGGAGCGTAGCTCGTGACAGCTCGTCGGCCGTACGGTTGAGCAGACCCGGAATGTGAATGGACCGACGTGTCCTCAGAACCTTCTGACTCCAAAGGAGGAGGTGGCAGGCGAGTTGCGACATGCGACGGGAGCGCAGACCACCTTTGAGATGGTTCAAGGCAAGGCGCACTGCTAACAACTCTAGGCAATTGATATGCCATTGCAGTTCGGGGCCCATCCATACCCCCGACACTGCGTGCCGGTGGTGGAGGATCCGTGTATACCACAGCATGCCTGGAGACCTGTTCTAGGGGCACTCCTGCCTGGATGAACGTAAGGTCTGACCACGGGGTGAAGGTTTGGCGACAGGCCGGTGTAACTTGGACCCGGTGAGTGCCGCACTGCCACGCCCACCTCGGGACTCGGCCATGAAGCCAGTGCTGGAGCGGTCTCATATGAAGCAGCCCCAGCGACATAACTGCCGCTGCAGCTGCCATATGCCCCAGGAGCCTCTGAAATAGTTTCAGTGGGACCGCTGTCCTGCC